TCCCAACCTTCTCAGGTGGGAGATCTATTCCGAGATTCCCACGTGAAAGAATAACACCATCTGCTTCTTGTAGAATCTCATCAAAGTGTGTGAGACCCTGCAAGAAAATGAGCATTGCAACTCACAATTATAAAAGCTATAAGGTTAACTTTCTGACCAACTTAATTCCTGTTGCAGCTAACCTCTACATTCTCAATCTTTGCAAATATTTGGGTTTGGTAAAGATCACCTAACTTCGACAGGAATTTCCGAGCCTGCATCAAGTGAGAGAATCACAGTTAGAATATTGTAGACCACTAGGGTAATTGAACAAGTTGAGAACCGGTCAGGAAAATTAAGGGCTGTACACCTTAATGAACTTATAGATTGAATATAGGAAGAGGAACAAATGTGATGAATATGACTGAAATAGCTTACTTGCCGAACATCTTCTGCATGCCTTGTATAAGATAATGAAAGGAAATCGATTTTGTTGCGGACACCCCATGTACTTATTACCTGCGGTATAGACCATATGTTGAATGGGATAACAAACTTCTTAAACACACTTGACAGTATATGTAATCAGAAATAGTACCAGCAAACCAGAACCTGAATTTCTTAAAAGATAATTTGTCTTCCTATGGTTAGCATCTTGGTTTAAATGATGAATATAACAACATGCTCTTTGTTCAATATACTAAATATATGTGTTGAAATCAAAAAGTTTCATCTAGAGGAGCACACAACAAAGTTAAAGAGGCAACATCATTATGTAGTGGACGCAAAAAAAATTTGAGCACTGGTTGACTCTAGTAGCCAAATCATGAAACACACTTGGAATATGATTAAAGCCTCTCAAGCAACTTGCCAAAAAACAAACCTTCTCTCACTCAAGAGATCACCGGTAATGATCAAGGTGTAATCTATAGAAAAGTAGAAATGTGAGAAATGAACATTACCAACCACTATATACATCAATCTGAGGAATTGATAAACCCATGTCTAGCAGCTGACAAAACTCAGTTTGATAAAAATTGTGAATTGAAGATACAAGACCCATCCTTTGGTAGGTTTCAGGAGACCTTAATTGAAAAAATATCAAAGTAATAAATGCCAGACTGATTGAGTAGAGGAATGCTAATTCTATTTCAGATCTTACTCCAAACACAACCCTTCTTTTTTTCACTTTAGCATTATATATTTCACATTTTTATGCAGCATTTTGTTTGTGACGAAGCTTCTTTATAACTGCTTTTGATAGTTGCTACATAATGCATCTCAACATCTACATGGTCAAAAAAGCAATTGAAGAATCAATGAGTTCTACGCATGAAAGAACAGCAGGATAACTTATTAGTATGCTCAAAAAGCAACACTGGTTAGAGTGTCATGCAGATGTTTCTTACACTTTTGTCAGCTTCAGTAAGTGTTGGCAAGTCAACACGGATTTGAGATATATGAAGTGTGAACAGTGACCCAGTCAGAGTAGCAGTGTTTTTTATTTTGCAGACCACATCATCTCCTTTCAACTCAGCAACCTGAACAAACACAAACACACACAGAAGCAAAAAAAATAAACTTAGCTACCACGGAGCCTCAATAACTTGAATAAAAAGTAATAAACATAAGAAAGCTTGGCAAGCTTAAATATACAAATTCCTACTTAAGGCTACTGTTCCAAATCAAGCCACGTTAGTTCATTCCCTTTGATAGCTGATATAATTAGTTTTCAAGTCAGCTATCAGTCAATCAAGGTTATATCATGTAAGCATTCCAAAGCCATACCTCCAACCAAACAGAAGTAGTTTCACTTCCAGTAAACAAGTATTGGCCAATAAATATTGTGTCTCCTGGCTTCACTGCCTGCAAAAAATAATCGAAGTTCATTGTTTAAAGTTACAAATTTGGAGTTCAAAGCAAACTTATATATGAAGTTTGTTTCTTATAGTTACAAACTTGGAGTTCAAATCACACTTATATATGAAGTTTGTTGCTTATTATTACAAATTTGGAGTTCAAATTACACTTATGCTATCTGGTAGATCAAGGTTTTATTAGTTCTTTTGAGTTCTGGCTTCACACCATTAATCCTAATCGACTCACCTTGTCTGGTTCATCTATATGTCTCATTTCGGTAAATTTTCTTAATTCAATTAATACAATACTAGTGAAAACCTGTTAGCAATAATATGGTGCGGACTAAAATGGGTGTGAAATTAAAAAAGAAAATCATTGATATTGATGAAGACAGCGAGTTCAAGATGGTTCCTGCTTGCCTTTGACAAATTACTAAAGTTTATAGGCAACAGCTGGGATGATGCTTCCTGCTCCTGATCTGGCGTTAAAACAACCAAAGTATCAGCCTCAAGCGAGATGGCCTTCTCACTTTTGTTCACAACCTGTAACTCTGGACCCACAGTATCTAACATGACCTGGAAAACAAGCAAAGGTATTGTTAATTACACCTCATTCAACAAAAATGGACTATATAATGGGAAAACGCTCAGTCGGATCCCAATTTGCAGATAGTCTCATGATCATACAGATGCAAAAGAGAACAAACAAGTAGAGAAAGATAAAAGGATACGGTTATCAGCCTACGGTTGCTGAGCGAATTTTAGCACATCAAATATAAAATGCTATCAGCGCTTTCATCTTCCAGCAGAATACGCAATAGAGAAATTAAGCGCAAACTACATGGCAAAAGGCAAAGAAGGACGCTAGTAGCTAAGATGAAAAATAGTGTGCAACCGGCAAGTAGAAATCCGTAAAGTTTAGGTGGCTAACAACCAAAGACTTACTGCGCAGAACTTTTTGGTGCTCTTAATAGCTGCCTTGAGATTTTCCAGGGTCTCCTGATGATAATCGACGTCTCCCCACGAGAAGTCAAATCGCGCCACTGCCACAAGAAGAACACGGTCGGACATACATTCTCATTGCAGTGCCGATGACCCAAAACACCAAATGGCTGAGTGATGCGAAGCAGCAAGCTCCGATCGAGGCAGCACCGGAAGCTGGGAGGAAGACGAGGCATACCTGACATGCCGGCCTTGAGGCAGGCAGAGATCACCTCCAACGACCGTGATTTGGAGCCGAGCGTCCCCACGATCTTGGTCATCGCAGGGAAGAAACTCTGCGAGGTCACGACGACATTCAACACATCAGTGCAAACTTGAACGAAATCGAAGGCTCCTCTTCGCCCGGAGATGTAGCAGAGGTTCCGATTGGACCTCTCTCTCCAAATCAACGCATCTACTTGCGAGTTCTGGGGGGGAAGAGGGGCATCCATATCGAGATCTCGGAATGGGGGAGAGGGGAAGGACATACCGGCTTCGATGGCTCGAGGATGGAGGCCATCCTGATGGGTTCCTCGAGAAGAAGGTGCGTGGAATGCATTCTTCCTTCTCACTATTGGCTTCTGCTGCTGCAGCACCAACGACAGCCGGCGGTGGAGAGGAGGAGATCGAGATCGCTGGATCGTCGGAGGACGGGCAGAGTGGAGGAAACAGTCGACAGCACAGCCTCAGATCCCCTCTTTTAGTGACCGACGGATGGCGCTCAATCATGCTGTGTTTACATATATATCCTTGGATACATGAAATATCGTAAATGCCCTTCGAACTTTAATATAATAAATGTCTTCTTTTTTTTCTGTTTTTATGGGAAATTATTTTTAATTTTCAGAATTTTTAACAGCATTTTTTTTTAACCTGTGAAATATTTTCTCACTCCTTTTCTCATTTTTCATATGGATTGGTTGTGAATTAGTCTCGTTGTAATAGTTTTACACTATGTTACAATATTTTGCAGTAATAGCAAAAAATTAATATAATATATTTTTTAGTAATAAAAAAAACAATATAGCATAGTATAGAAATACTATGTTGTAATAAAAAAATTATATTATAATATTATAATATTTTTTAGTGTTAATAAAATAATATAACGTAGTATAATAAATATACTATTTTTTATGAACTTATATAAAATAAATATTACTATGTTATAAAATATTATAATATTATATAATATAGTGTTATAATATTTTTTTATTTTACTAAGGTTATTATAATTGGATCAATCAATAGGAATAGGAAAGAAAGAAAAAATATATATTATTTGAGATGTGAGAAAAACCTAAAAAGTGATTTTTTTTTGGGGAGAAGGGGGGAATTGGCTGAACATTATTCATTCTCAAAATATTGTTGTAAATCATAATATTATTATATGGAGTGAGGCTGATAGGGAGATGATCCAAACAATGTTGCTGCTTCTACTTCACGTGATAATAATACGTCACTATTCTACTTAAATCAATATATTTTATTGGGAAATAAAATAGAGGAACAAACGTGGTCCGTCCAAAAGCCGACACCGAGGAAAGGATCACGTTCAACTTTAGATGATGGGATTGCGACTGGTCGAATGGAGAAAGAAGAAGGTGGCGAGCGGTTGGCCTTCTCTTCTCGTGTGGCATTGCCACGTTTAATTTCTTTCAGCCGCGTGTTGTTTACTATTGGATAGTTATTATATGCTATGATCTAATTTTATATCTTCTTCACTAATTCGAAAATTTGAAATGTTCTATTATCTCCTATCCACTCTCTTATAGTTGTTTTTGTCTTCCTTTTTTTATAATTTTAATAAATATTAAAATATATATATAATTTAATAGCTCTGGCAAAACTCACTGGGAAGAAGAAGCTTAAAAGCCCTGACTGAGGAGGTTGTCACCAAATTCCCAACTTGTGACTTCACAGTGCATGTATGGTTACATATTCATTGAACTTCACAGTGCATGCATTAAAAGCCCTGAGGTTCTCACCAAATGTATATTATATATTCATTTCACACAATTAATCAATCAGCTCCCAGAAACATCATGAGATTGTCGTCTTCCATATATTACAAAACGAGAGAAAGTAATATAAAATTCAATTAAGAGTCCATTTCCTTAATGATACCAATAAGAAGATACTCTAATGATTAAGGTAGATAGATAGATAGATAGATAGATAGATCACAAGTAACATTTTAATGTACCTTAAACATCTAGAAAATACACTAAAAGACTAGTCTCCCTTACCACAAGACTACTGTATTATTGAGGTCTGTTTTCCACGTCGTCATCCCCATGCACGGCGACCAACGGGACTTTTAGGACATGGCATCGGCATTGCCACCCCTATCTAATGAGACTTCTCTCTTATATGGATGGATACTACCGAGTCTGAATCTGACTGACTACCAAAGACACTACTGGTTTGGTCACACGCGCACTACCACAGCGACAGGTCCATGAGACACTCGTCCACACCATCCCCATCGAAGCCTTCGAGCATCGATGGTGGCGTCACCAGCAATCCCCTCGCCATGTCCTCCAGCAACCCCGGCATGTTGAACAGCGCCTCCTCGTCCACCAACACCGGAGCCGCCGGCGGTGCGCCCATCGATGGTGGCGTCACCAGCAATCCCCTCTCCATGTCCTCCAGCAACCCCGGCATGCTGAACAACGCCTCCTCGTCCACCAACACCGGAGCCGGCGGCGGTGCGCCAGCCTCCACCCC